GCCAACCTTCTGCACCCGGTCGCGTTGAAAAAACCGCCGGATTCAGCAAGGAGATCATTTTCTTCCGCTGCGTACACTAAAAACATCTCATTTCCACCCCCATCACCACATGGCATTTAGTTCCCACCCGAGCTAACCCGCCAGATCCGAAAGGTGCCCAGGTTAACGCCCGTGCTCTGTGACGAGTTTCAAGACGCCCGCCCTCCCGCCGGAGAAAAAATGCTGTTTACATTACCCACGAGGAGCAAAAAGACCCAAACTCCGGAGTAAACATTAGCTCCTCTGGCAAGTCCACCGCCAGCAAACGACGCCCGGGCACCCTCCCGGGGCCGGACGCGCACCGTCAAATCGCTGAGGAGAGCAAAAGCGGACACAGCCCGATTTCTGCCCTCAAAGGGCTCCTAGTCTTTCAGGCTGGAGCAGTGTCAGGACACGAAGCGAAGGAAGCCGAGGCCTCGGGCGCGACTGGGAGAGGCGGGAAAGACGCTGACACCACTCAGGCCAGAGGGGACACCAGGGCTGTGATGGTGACGTATGAGATTTCCCCTGGAAGTGATGATCAGCCAAGTGCAAATTTTAAGGAGACTGTGACATTTACATCAACGACTAAAAGGCCTCACACCTGCAACTTTGATTAAACCTGAAAGATCACAAATTCGTCGATAGTGGCAATGAAAACTTGTGCTCATCCATGGCAGGAAGAAGGTATTTATCCCCTAAACACGTACACCTGCAACGACCACGTTAAACGCAGTTCTACATGAGAACAAACGCTTACACAGTGCTGACCGCACAGGGAAGGCGGCATTCCCGTACCCGCCTCGTCTCGTGCAAAGCGGACACGTGCTTGAGATGGCTTCCACCTGGGGCCTGGAGAGACTCTGAATAACCACAAGTGCCAATGCTCTCAGAAGGAGCTGGACAGCCATTGCGGAGGCCAAATCGACCCAGCCCACCTCTCCCCGGCAAGCCCCCGACACGTTCTGGTCCTCAGCGGTGGCATCTACATCACAAGATGGACACAGGATAAACTGAGATGATGCCCACAGCACTCTGCTGAGCACTGAATAAAAGAGCTGTATCATGGCATCACCCCGCCCCTTCTTCCCGGGTCCCCCAAATGCGGGGCCCCAGACCTGGAAACCCCTGTAAAACCACCCTTACCTGGGGCCTGGCCAGCACAACCTCTCTGGGGCCTGCAGAGGAAGCCACACAAACCACTGGTGGGCAGCGTGGTTCCTGCCGACCTGCCCCTGGTGGGGGTGTTGGCATAAAAGCTGGTTGGGGCCTCAAGCGCTGCCCTGGCTGACTGACCTGGCTGGGTCATCACTGGCATCACAGTCCTGCTGCTGCCAAGTGAATTACAAGATGCAACTGCTAACAGGGGCTTTACCCCTTGAAGAAGAACAAGCTTTATTTAACAAGAAAGGCAGTTGACTCAATTACCTCAAACCCACCAACCCCAGACTGGCTTTTTAAAGGAGAGCCGCAGGGGGAAAACCTAGCCAAGCTGTCCACACTGGAGGTGGGCAGCTCCCCGGCTCTTTGCTGGCATGGAGGCGACTCGTGCTGTGGGGCTACATTTCAAAGCATGCCGCACCCCAGTGGGACACCCAAGAAGTCTGATCAGGTAAATCTGAAAACCATGGGCAATGTTTCCACAAAATCCAGAGGCTTTGGGGGGCGGGCGGGGGCGGGGGGAATAAATCAGCCAAAGTCTGCAATAAAGATCTTGGGAAGGAAAAAAAAAAATTTTTTTTTTTGGCAAGGTAACATTTTAAAATAAGACTGAGAACAAAATCGCATTTTCCAGGCCTACAAACAGACCTGCTCTTATTTGGGAATCATGGCGAGCTCTTTCAACTAAAAGACATACGTGTGTCCATCTCATTAGAGATTTATGGATGCAGACCCACTCAGAAGCACTGTGAAACCCAGCTGTGGCCAAACTTCGATGAGGCCACTCCTCCCGCCAGCGGCAGAAACTCTTGAAGGTGCCAGGAAACGGGGAAATTTTCAATAAATTATGGCACAGCCAAATGCTGGAACAGTATGCCAACATGAGAAATCATATCTTCGAAATTTTCCACGACACTAAAAAGCGCTCGCGTTATACTAATCACAAGGCTTTCAGTATGACTCCAAGTTTGCATATGTACACATGGGGGCGGAGTCTAGCTGCAGAGCCTCTAAAATGCAGTGTTCTCTGCTTGCTGGGGCAAGGGATTTTTAAATCGTTTGCTATGATGTGCATATACTTTCCCGAGAAGAAGCGTTTATATTTTATAGTTCAGAAAGAGTAACATTTTGCCTTTTGCAGCTGTAACATCCTAACCTGCGAGGGTCACCCAGAGGCAGATCTGCATCCGTTTCTTGGAGTCACTGATGCTCCCGGCGCAGGCTCGGTCACCCCACTGGATTCCCCCGAATGCATCTGCAGCCTCGGCAGCCCACGGCAACACACTCAGATTCAACATGAGTAGACAACCCACACCCCACACAACCGCGCAAAACCGTTTCTGCACAGTTCTCTTCTATGAAACAATGCTGCCCTGACACAACTGAATGATGCTCCCAATTCCAAACCGTCGACAATGTAGACATAAATCACAACCATCTCTTAGAACTGGCACAGGCTGGGAGAACATTTCATTATAACAAATGAGCTTACATTTCATTACGAGGGGCAGTGCGAGCTGCTCTGGGAGGCTGCAGTGCCGGGCTCTCTATTCAAATGATCCTTTGGTTCAGCCCAAACTCTGAATGACCTCAGCCAAATGTTCGGGAGGTCATTATCCCTCCCTGAACCTTCATCTTCTACCAAATGAGGATAATGAAGCTGGCTCCCATTCTCTCACAGGGCTGGTACAGCCACACAATGAGATTATGAACGCAAGCATATTTCTGCTAAAGTCCCATAGAAATGAAAGGTGATATTGTTGATAATACTGCAAGGAACGGAAGTACATCTGAATGGTTATTAACACTCATTAAATTACCAACTCCGACACAATACCGATATTCCTCTTTCTAACAGAAAAAATAATAACATCGTCAAAGTCTCAAGCAGGATTCATTCACTAATTCTGCGTCTTATTAAAAATGACAAGGATGCTAGCCAAGAAGGAACCTAAAGTCTCCCACCACCAAGTTACCAAAGCCATCAGCTAAGGACCACACAATATTTTTTTTAAAAAAAGAAGAAAATGAAACCACTTCCTCTTGCTAGAAAGTCAAACTGCTTTGCTGGAAGTGTGCGAGACCCCGGAGCTCGGCTTCGAGCACGGGAAATGAGAACGAGGCGCAGCATGAATCACTCAGCGAGAAGCCTGTGCACAGCGACACCGTCTCCCGGCCAGGTGCATTCAATACTTGGCAGTGGCTTTCAAAGTGTTTCATCAGACTCCTGTGGATGGACGCTGCCAGAGCTGCAGAGAGCCAAGCGACACAGGCACAGTGCCCCTCACTCTGATGCCACCAGAGCAGAGCCAGGCCCCAGAGGAACTTTCTGCAAAGCCACCGGCCATCAGCAGCGTGTGCAGGTCCCATGACCCCCCCGCACCTCACGTCTCGCCAGACGCACAGCGGAGCCCCTGCCTCTCGAGGAATCTGGAAGTGTCTTAAATTGCCAAGAAGGTGGCCTGGTGCACCGACAGCTCCGATCCTCTCTGGGAATCAGCAATTCCCCTATGGATGTGGCCGGCCAATCGGCAGCCTGGCCAGGCAACTGTTCAAGTCACCGGGCTGCCAAATGCCAAGAGGATCAGCACGACATCCACCTTCTCCACCTAACCAGCCAAGCGTCAAAGCGAGACACTCTGGGGTTAGCAGTGCCGGGGGCATGGTGCCAAAGCAGAGCCTTCCGTGGCCAGCGCACTGTCCCTCACAGACGGAGGTGGGCGACTGCCCACGGCCGGGCTTTCCAACACACTCCTGCCAGGCTTCGGAATGTTCTCAGTGTTCCTCAACAGCTGCCCTACGGGCCTTTGATTAGGACAGTCATGCGTTACCTACAACCCACCCTGCAGGCCTCTCACGTCACTGGCCAACAGCCACGGGAGGGGACAGACTGCTGGCTGATCGTGGCCAGGGTGCTCACAACGCATTCTGTGTTTACATCCCACCTGGTCCCCCAAGTGACTCTCGGCAAGACCACACAGATAAAGCGAGAAGACAATCCAGACGCCCAGCAGCGTAGTAAGAGCCGCCAGGAACCCAGGGGCAACGCAGGCGCAGGAGAGGCCCACTCTGCGGCTCCTTTCGCACAGGGTCACGGCCTTGCCCGACATGCTGGAAGGGCGGGTGGCCTCCGGGCACATGAAAGCGAGACCCTGAGGCTGAAGGACACCCTGCCCTCCTGGTAGGGTTCTAAGCTGGCCTGGGGCTTTCTGTAGAAAACACTCCATGGAGGCCAGCCTTTGGCCTGCCCCTGGACACAACACTGCCCGCAGGGGGACTGACTCCCTCTGCCTAGGCTGGTTCAGCTGCCTCCAGTGTGCCCCAGAACTGAGCAAAGACTGAGGGGGGACAGCCCCGCCCGCTAAACAAGCTGGCGGGAGCCTCGCCCCCCACACACACCCCAGCAGCGGCACTTCTCAAAACACGTCTTCAACGTCCAGCCATAAGCTCGGTCCTGGCCCCGTAACCTGTCACAGGTCCGGTGGCACCAACCTCCAGCTGCCCCCAGGCCTCGGCTGGGCTGGGTCACTCGCGTGACCCAGGACACGACTGCATTTAGCCACCGTCTCCCAGGAGAGACTCTACTGCCCGTTACCGAATCAACGCTGACAGCCCTTCTCCCCTGACAGAGCCCCGCGGCCTCCCGAGTTCTCGCTGGGCCTTGCTGGGTTAGCAGCACCGCAGTGCTCACTCGGCGGGGCAGCCGCGTGCCACGGCCCGGCGCGTGTGTACACACGCACGCACACGCGCGCGCGCGCACCGCGCCGGGGGTGCCCGCTCCCCCGCGCTTTCCAGAAACCCCGCGGCGGCTCGGCCCTCACCTTCGATGGCGATGACGTGCTCCCGGATCTGGTTCTGCAGCGCCGGCTCCTCCACGCGCTCCAGCAGCTCGTAGATGGAGTAGATGTTGGGGTGGACGGACTCGAAGCGCTGGATCTCGGCCCGGATGGCAGCCGAGTTGGCCAGCTGCTGCTGGTAGTTCATGGTGCAGGCGCGGCGCCCGGAGCCGCGCGCCCCCCGCC